ATTGTTTTGCACTTACGATCGTATTTCAGTAAACTTGCTTTCCACATTACGAAATTAATTTAAAGTTGAGTTATTAAAAAAACCCTAAAACAGCTTTGACTATTTCAAAATTAGTTCGATACTGTCGAAACATGGTACGCCGGATTAATTTAAAACTTATAATTAATTAATTATTTGATCGATTAAAATACTTATATATTTATATTGTAAAACGATCACTTTAGAACTTTTAATATTTTTAATTCGTAAAGAACTTAATCGGTTAAGTACTTGTGAATGTTGACTTCATTTCATTAAGTTTCAAACTTATCAGGTCGTAGAAGCGAATGGGAGAGCTCTATGAAATTAAAAAAGGCTTCTTAAAAATTTCAACAGTAAAGAAATTTAAAGGAGACTTTACTCTACCACTATTCTGCGTTTATGGATTTAAAAACTTAAAACCTATTAAACTCTTGAGCCGCAGATGGAGTTAAAGGTTTTATCTACGTTTTTGTACAGATAAAAAAATAAACAAAAGAGCATTTAGCAGTTTACGGAGTTTTTTTTAACTTTAAACTTTTTTATCTATGAGGCCTTTTTACGTTATGTTTTTGTTTCTTTTTATATTCAGATTAGGATGTTCTTATCATTGTGTGTAGTAGTCTTACTAAAATTATAAATGCGATAACCCGATGGTTGTTTGTTACAAAGTATCTCCGGAACGTCACAACGGATCTTGATGAAATTTAGCACAGATGTAGAACACATAGGCTTTTCAGTACAACTAAATATTATAAAAATATTTTATTAAAAAAATGTATAGTAATTGATCTTTTATTGACTGAAAGTAATTGAATTGTCCGGTGATACGGAATTAATAATCTTGTGGCGCACATGCGTAATAGCTAATCAGCAAAAAACAAACGAAACCGTTCACACAAACAGACAAGCTAATATATGAATTACAACGTAGAATGGTAACAATGCCTTTATGTAAATTTATATGCTACTAGCTGTCGCACGCGACTCCGTCTGCGCTGGATTAAAAAATAGATAGTAGCCGATCGGTCAAGCCGTTTCGGAGGAGTATGCGAACGACAATTGTGACACGAGAATTTTATATATAAGATTTTATTTTATTTATTATTTTTATAATTATATCAATCTAATCTGTGTCCAGATAGATTATAGTCGAATGTAGTATTTTGTTCTAAACATGAATCAGTTGCACGATAAAAACAGCTGAAGCTAAATGTGCGTCGTTTAATAAATGGCTCCGACTGCCGTAACGAGAGTAATCTGCAATTCAAATATATTATTCACGGTATTCGTTATATAGTTTCATTTTTACGAAACGTTTCAATTATAATTTAATAATAACTGAACCCGGAGTATATTGCGTTGTCTAAATTATCAAAATATTATAAAACGATTAAGTTAAAGTTTGACGCGAAAGAATCCTTTCGCGCGAATGACGTGCTTTCGTTACAAAGTCCAGTGTCAGAATGAATAGTGGAGTCGTAGTATGTCCCCATATACCTCGATATTTTAGTAAGATTAATTTTGAGTCAATACACTGCCACATTTTCGGATTTTCTTCCTAACAATTTTTAGATATTTTAATATACAAACCTACATACTTTAGCGTGTCTCAGAGGTTTAGGAACGCATTAGAAACATTGATTTTTGTTTATATAGTTGGACTCCGTACTTAAAATTTTACACTTAAATATACACATCATATTTTTCTTTAGTTATATTTTTTTAACCCCTAAATTCGATGGTGTCAAGTGTGACGAACTAATTTTTTAGCATTTTTCCTGTACTTATTTCATATCCAAATATATAACTTTACTAAAAAAAAACAGTTTTTTTTGCTACAAAAAATTTCGTCGAATTAAGGGTTAAAGTAGTAGCGCAGTGATCCAAAGTTAATCTTGTACTACAAGAGGTCGACATCGCCGCCTGTCTGTGCTCCGTCTCTTGCCAGACGATCGCTTATTTTTAGCTACCTATATGTTTTCAATTACTTCATAAATTAAAATGTTGACATGTTAAAGAGAAAAGTTTTTTAAATTATTTGAATATATAAGCATTCTTCTCGCGTTGGTACAAACATGAGCAAGACAACTTCCGTAAGAATGAGGTCATTAAGTGGAACATTACGTATTAATGACAGGAGGTTCATATAGCCCTCATTTTTTATTACACTTATGTGTAAAGGCCGGCAACATATCTACGGTTACTCTGGCGTTGCGTATATCCATGGGTGTCAGACCAAATAATTTTAGGCGATCGCTTACTCGTTTGCCCATTTGTCCTAAAAAAATCGTTTTTTGATTACGACTTTGTCAGCGCGGAATAAAAAAAAAACTTTTCTATTAACTAAAGCATTATACTTCGATTGATAAAACCACTCCAACAAAGGTAGTGTTTGTATTCTCGGAAGGGGATGATTCTCCAGTTTCCGAGTCTAACAAAATGGATTCCAATAAACGAGGTAAGCTACGTAAGCGTAAAACAATTAGGATATGAAACGTTTTATCGAGATTTTTAGTTAGACATTGTTTGTATATATTTGAAAATATACTATGAAATTTTTATTTAATACTAGCTGTGCCCGCGACTTCGTCCGCGTGAAATACTGTCGTTGTGCTGCGCGCGGTACTGGACAGTACTTGGACATTGCAACAATACTTTATTTTTCTAAAATATTTTTTTTTTCTAAAATAACGTAGCCTAAGTTACTCCTTATCACATCACCTACCTGCCAGTAAAAGTCCCGTAAAAATCAGTACAGCCATTTCAGAGATTAGCCGAAACAAACAGACGGATAGAAAAAAATGTTACAATGTCATTTTGCTGTATGTACTGTTTATATATGCATATACATATAGTTATTTCAATATTACAAACAGACACTCGTTTTTTTTTATATGTATAGATTTATCCAGAAAAGTTCGGAGTAACAATTCTTTTTACTTTAAATCTAATTGTTATTAAATGTAACTAAATGATTTGTAACGCAAACGACAATGACGAACGAGGTGTCAAACTACACTTGTTACTTAGTGGTAATAAGTCGTACAAAACCCACGCTTCGTTTTATATCTATCTTTTGACCAGATAATCCAGAAATATTAAAAGTAAAATAATAGATTGTCTGTCCTAGACCTCTATCTGTATTCTAGAATAATATTTTCAATGCGTTTGATTGATGAGTTATTACGATCGTACACTTAGCAAAACACAAATCGTCTTAATCCTCGAAAAAACCCTTATGATGGATTGCGGGATTGCTATAAACTAATACTAAGGGTTTCCACTGACAAAAATATGGAAACATAGTGTCACCTCTATCATACTCTTTGAAATAGACAGAGATAACATTAACATTTTAAAATTAGGTAGGTGATACAGCAATGGAGTTTCACACTCAATGTTTGTATAAACTTAAGGCATCATATATCAATTAATTAAACATTTGTCAATATTAAAATACAGTTTGTCAATTATCAATATTAAAAAGCGTATTTCACATTTCACTCGCAACCCTATTTTTATTTATACGATTATTTGTGCGTGTGTGTGTGTGTGTGTGTGTGTTGTGTGTAGTGTGTGTGTATGTGTGTATGTGTGTGTGCGTGTGTGTGTATGTGTGTGTGCGTGTGTGTGATCACTTACGCTTTATTCTAGAACAATGAATAATGCAATGTTATCCGATACGATGCGATACAATGCGATGCAATGTGGTACAATGCGGTACAATGCGATACGATGCGATACGATGCGATACAATGCGATACGATGCGATACAATACAATACAATACTACCTGATAGACAGCCCACTGCCGCTTCTTATTCGTATAACGTAAAATTTTGAAACCAACATTTTTCGATATAATTGGGGCTTTCTAATATTTAAGTTACTTCTATTTTCATTGTGGGTCATGACTGACGTTAATAACTAATAATTAGGTGGCCGGAATGACCGATCGCAATTATTTACATAGAAATAACCTACGCTTTTCACAAGTTTTTCTTTTTAATATCGTGTTTAGTTTACATATAAATTGTTTTAGTAATATTTTGTTTATTTCTTTTATTTTATTCGATAAGACGTTTCATTGTTTCCGTTAGCCTAATTGAATTCTTGAAGAATTGTTATCGCTCCATCACGATACGGTTAAATTTTCTCACGTTATATTTATTTTTATATTATAAGGTGTTATTTGACTTTAGTTTCATATAATATTACTTACGTGATTGAGTTAAATAGCTTTAAATAATCCCTCGTTATTATAATTCATAATTAAAAGAGTAATGAAATTTCTTTTAGCAGTACCTATGTGTATGGAATGCTTTGTTTTATTTTACTGTCTGCGTTTAGTTTTTATAAAAATGTTGAAACACAATCAAATAAGATTGATATGTCTAAAATGAAAGTAACTAAAATACTAGTCGACGTTAAATTTAAAGCTCCTAAATTTAAGTTAGTACAAAACTCTCTACTTAGCGATAGTTAATTCAAAACATAAATTGCAGATAAAATGTTTTTCATGTTCGCAATGCTTAAAAGTTACATATTCCGGACCTGTGACTAAAATTTAAATTAAACTAACAAAAATAAACTGAATAAAAATGACTACAAAACCATTTCAAAAATTGTTCAATAATAATATTGCTTTATTTAGATTAAGTTAGTTTTCGTACACAGTCGAGGATTTTAATTTCCCACCCAGGTAAAATCAAATTCAAAGGTCAAATTATACCTTCACAATGAAATTACGTTAAAAACATGCCACAGGAATATACATTATAGCGATTTACGTTTAGTTAACACAAAATTAAATAATAATTAATATTTTTTTAGCTTCTTAGAGCATTATTGTATTGTTTTAGTCTTTAATACCGGTCCTATAAATCTTAAACGAACGCGTCAAATTCCCGCTGAATATTAAATGATCATAGAAGTATCGGAGCGTAGTATCACCACTGAGAACCGCGTCGCGCGCACGCCGTAGCTGCCAGTCTTCGCGTAGACGCGTAGCAAACGCACGTCTGCTACGCGCGCTCCCGCTACGTATTACGTAGCTAAGTAAAATGTTTCAATAAAATTAGTTCGCGTATTGTTTTTAAAATTGCTAATAATTTAGTTTGGTGAAAATATATGTGAGCGTTATCAATAAAAGTGATTAAGGAAATATTTTAAACTTGTAATATATAAATAAGTTATAATGCTTAGAAATTTTAGTGTTGTGGTAAAAACAACTATTTTTCTTCTAACATTGCAAGGTAATGTTATGTTAAATTTGCTATGCGTGTGCATATTTTATTATATATATTTTTTTTATTTCCTGAGATAAATCTTTGTGACTGATAATATAAGTAATATCAGAACAACAGTATCGACTTTGTGGAACGTGAAAAATTTTACAACTTAAGTTATGAAATAAATGAATTAAGTTTCAGTTATAAATATTTTAATAACGCTTAGATCGTATTAAGTTAGTAATACTTAGTGTGTTTGATACGCGGAAATAAGTATTCATTTTTCGTTTTATGTGCATTTCGTTTTGAACTTACTTGCTTATGCTAGATTTTTGCACTTGCGGACAACAAAACCAAAATGTTAAAATGAATTATTTTTTACATTTTCGTATTACTGCACCTTTTCTTGTAATGAACGGTTCTTGAGTATAGAAATCTGTCTATTTATAAGTTTATAAAAAAATACAAAAATGATTTTTATAATCATAAAAACTCCTAGTAGTAAACACCAAATCGTAATTAAAGGATTTCCGAACAAAAAATGTAAAACTTCGTTTCGCAGAAGTTGTTCTGTAGACTTTTGTTCTTACAACGCTTTGAAATTAACATTGAAAAAAGAAACACAAACAAAACGGATATTGAAATACCCTTTAACGATTAATTAATCGCTTCGTTGAGTTTACTTTGAGAACTTACGTATGACGTGTGTGCTTGGAACCCGAACTTGGAATGTAAGGATGAATATTTTATATAAGAGTGATAGTTCGATTATATAGTCAGCGAATTAGCGAACCTGCGATAAAACAATCGTTTGAGAAGAAGTTTATAATTCTATGATTGTGTTCCATTTATGTTCGAAATTTTTTTTCTTAATTTTGTGATAGCAAACAGTAACATTACGTTCACACTAATATCATTTGGCCACGGTTATACAGATTATAGACTAGTTTAAGAGATAGTCATATTAATTTTTAAGGCGATTGCGAAAGATGTTTTATATATTTCAAAAATATTAAAATGTTTAAGAAAACTTGTGAATATTTCCGTTACAGAGTTAATCCAAACAGTGAGTTTCCTTTACCAAAATATCTCTACAAAACAAAATGCTGTGTTATTTATTTAAAGATAATAAATAAATTGGTTGATAATGTTGTGTTTTCTTTGCCACTGAGATAAGAAAAAACAAAAGCTAGGGGCATTAGTAGAATAAGAGTAAAAATTACATGACCTGGTAAACTTCACATCACTTACCTGCCTGTATTATATATGCAACTAAATATATGTGTACAGCGCATACATTCAGTAAATATTCCACGATTTTAATCTTAATGTCAATGTAAACACTTTGAAATAACAAATAAAGATAAAAGTAATTGCGCCGTGACCCAGGGGTTAGTCAGAGATTACAGATATGTTATTTTGCACAACCCCTGCGTACATCTCGTGTTTGCCAACACAACTACATAGCCAACTTTTGTACATTTATTATATTGTTATCGCTTGTAACCACAAATGTAAACTATTAAATTAACATTGCGACAATTTTTATTATGTTTTAGGAAGAATAATGACTGTAATTGATTGAATAGAAAAATAAAATATTTAAAAATACTAATTAACTATTGATTTTTCTTTTTACTGATATAAATTAATAAATTAAATATTAAAACAAAACACAAAATAGCAAAGGAGGTGTGTCACCGCCCCAAATGGAGGTCCCTGATCTCTGCCTACCACTATAGGTTACGGGCGTGAGTTAAGTTGTTTTGTAATTGTAAATATAAATAATATTAGTAACTGACACTAATAATTAATTTCTAATTAAACACATCAAAAGGTACATTTTAAAATAAATACAGTAATATTACAAATTGAATAATTGTCAGTTTAATTTCTTACTTTAACGAATCGTTATCATGACATCAGTAGGAATAGATAAGAAACTATTAATTGAAATAAGGTCACAAAGTACGATGAATACTTTATCAGGATGTTATTTTCTCTAGTGAATTGTACAAGGGTCGTAATAGCGTAAGTTTCTCAACAATGATCTATACTTTCTTTGTTTGAAGTATTCCTATTCTTTTATTCATGAAATAACATCAATGCTATCGTTTTTTCCGTTGCTAAATAACATCGGCTCCCGACAAAAAGCAATAAGGTTGTAGGAAGAAATACAAAGTCACAGGCTACGTTAGCAATTCCTTCGGTTATGTCGTAAAGATTTCTTTGTGTACATCTCCGAGACTAGCGGCAGTCTAGAACATTGTTATTTTTAATGGCTACGCTTATTTATTGTACTTCAATAAATTTAAGTTACGGTTTTTTATAGATTTTCCCGTTTCCTTCTTTCTGTTTCAAATCAACAATATCATAGGTTTTTAATGTTATCCTTTACAATTGGAATTCAGCTTTTTTGTTAATGAAATTCGAATTTCAAATTGAAAATTGAATCTAATGTTTGATTTTAAATTAGTATCCACGAATTTGAAGATTTTTTTTTAAATTTCAGTAACACACGCATATAAAATAAATACATATATATACAATAATGCATATGCACATATGCATATGCATTATTGTATATATATGTATACACACATCTCTCCGCAAAAATTTTGCGGAGAGATGTGTGTATGCATATGCGAAATATATATATATATATATATATAT